TTTTTATACACCCTTGCCAAGATATCCTTTTTCAGTGTAAACCACCATCTACCAGACTTTGAAATTCTAGGCTTTTCATTTACGAGGTTGAAACATTTCTTTAATGTGGGGTCCATCCTCTGGAGTTCTGAAAATGAGGGTTGACCACCTGCTGGGGTTTCCATGTTAGGGATGCTGATGGATTGAATCAGATCTGTCTGTGCTTTATCTTCTTGTTTTTGCGTTTGCTGTCTTGTGACAGCATTTACATTAGGAAACTGTTCCTCCCAGTTTTTTATTGCTAACTCATCATCAGTATTTACATTTGGTACATTACCAATGAGTATTCCGGCACATGGCGCGGGCAGTACTGCTGCCTTTGTTATGCCAGTGTAAAAGGGGCAATTTATTTTTACAAGAGCTACCTTATATCTTTCCGTATTACTTCCAAAAGTTCTGCACACAATGTGCTCTCCTGTATAGTGTTTCTCTTGCACTAATGCTCTGTGTACACCAATTAGTGTCGCGCCTGTATCTCGAATTACTGTGCAAGGTATACTGTTAGCGAATCCCCTGAAGTAGCGCAAGGATCCACTGGTCATGTTAGCCGAGTGTGCTTCTTGAATCGGCACACTGTGTCCGCAAGTTAGATTCCCGTCTTCATGGAATTCTTTGCATATCTTGCAGTTTTCGATCCCCAGTTCGGCAATCTCTTGGACTGAGTTGGCTATTAAGTCTTCTTCCGATTCACTGCTTGATGAGTTCAGGACCATATTAGCCTCTCTTATTATACTTCTTGCATGGCAGTCCCTGCGTATATGGCCAAATGCCCCACATTTAAAGCACTGTAGGTTTGTGGCATACCTTGTTACCTTAGATTGTTGTTTTTGGACAAAATCTCGTAGATACTTCATGTAATTTGGGTTTTTATCACACATATCTAAGCTACCATGCTTGTGATTGCAGTGTGAACATGTTATTAGAGTTCCTCGTTTTGCTACTGGGTGTCGTGGTTTTCTCTGATATGTGCTATCGTTTTGATAGCTGTAGGGACTTCTCTCTTGAGAATATGTCGCAGCTGCCCCAAAAGCTAGATCGGGTTGAGAGCAGGTCGCAAAGACCTCCTTATGGGCGTAAAAGAATGCTTCTCCTTTTTTCTCCATGTCACCTACTGATGTGCATCTATTCTCTTGTAAGAACGTGGACATACTAGCAGGAATTGAGACTAAGAGTTTATCACGCACTAGCAAATCCTTCAATAAGTAGAAAGAGTCTTGGACTTTTGCCGCTTTCAGCCATCTATCTAGAGTACTCTGCACCTCTGCGACATAGTCCACAAACGTCTGGTTGCTTTTTGGTGCCAGAGTTTTGAAAAGTGTTCTGTACCCTTCCTCATCAAGACTAAAATGGGCTAGTACTCGATCTCTCACATACTCATAGTCCATACGGAGTTCTTCCGGTATCGTTTCCACAATTTTAAGGGGTTCCAATGCTAGATGTCTGTGAAAGATTATGTGCCATTCGTCCTTAGGAACAGAGTAGTGTTTCATCATAATCTCAAAGTTAGAGATCCATGCGGAGACCGAATCACCCTTAGTGAAGTTTTGAACAATGCCCTGATATCGTTTGATCTTGTTTTCAGAAGCCTTTATCTGTGCCTGTCGTAAACTACTTTCCGTCTCCTTTTCTAGGTCCATTTCCTTTACTCTAACCTGCATGGCCACTTCTTTTTCTCTTAATGATACTTCAGCCAGTAGTTTTTCCCTTTCAAACGCTATTTGGGCTAATTTTATTTCCTTTTCAGCAGCTAGTTCCACCATTTTTAACTCCTTCTCTGCTTCTCTGGTCTGCAGACGCTCTTCCCTCTGTTCACTCTTCCATTCGCGAAACTGATCCTCTGACCATCTCTGTAGCTCTTTGTCTGCCAATCCCATCTTCTGTCCTAAGGTAATGAATTCTTCTAGTGACGTCATTTCGTGTATCCCTGGGAAATGCGTCGGGTATGCCGGGGTTCAATCGACGAGCTCCCAAGTTGTCAGACACCTTTTATAGGTGTGACACAAGTAGAATTGTTATTTTTGCCAGGTGTACCCACACTTCCATGAACATGTAAACGCTGATGACCTTGTTCCAGTTCTTAAACAGTGTTTATTTAAGAAACTCTTGATAATTGCAAAGTTAGTATGTTTATTGCGAACTCATGATAATTGCAAAGTTAGTATGGCTTCCACTACTGAGCAGCCACAGATTGTATTCTTATGGTTCATAAGCACACTAATCTCAGGTAGTCACTGGCTAAATACATCAACATTACGCTGGTATAGCTGATCACAAACTCATCCTCGTAATATGAACAAAGTCACGAGAGGCTAGCTGATGCCTCTATAGCAATAATTCCGTATCCTCCTAACTACTACACTTAACTTTATAATCCGGCTTTATACCACAGAAACACTTATCACCAGTATGAATAACCACTACTGTTCTGTTCACAGTTTTAAATCCAGTCCATTCCAAGCGAAAAACAATTCCCACTTTTTAAAAGGGCCCCAAACAAACACATCCGCTCACTGGACTGTCCAACTACTAACTGCCGTGTGTCACTCTACCTGTTTGTCCAGTCCCCGTGTAACCTCCCCACTCAGTTACCTGTTTCGCCGTGCGGGTCTACACACAAGCCGTCTGACCAGTAATTGACCTGTCTGCTGTTATGAGTCAGTCTAGTCGTTGTTTGTCTTTATCTCACAGTGTGTGGTAAAGTTGACTCATGACAACCTGTATGCGCATGATGAGTGAGGTTACAGAAATAAATTCAGAAATAGGAGAAAGAAGGAAGGAAATTACAAAATAGGGTGAAAGTCAATGAATGAAAAAAAAAAAAGAAAGGACAGACTCATCATCATGTAGCAGGTCCTTTGCAGAACGTCGCTCTCATCACAGTCTGCCTGAAAGGACAGACTAAGGACGGATGGAAGAATGGCATGAAGGCCGGAAGTAAATTAAAGAAGGAACAAGAGGGTGTTTACTTCAAAGTTGGAATGCATCTGTCCGAGAGGCAAGGAACCAATAGTCTGCATACCAGTAAGTCAGATCTGTAAAACTGATGTGCACGCAAAACTAAGTCCTGGAACACGGCCAAAATCCAGATGTGGACAAACAACCATAACTTTTCGTTGGAATTTACAGCCGGTCAACGAGACGAAGAAAAAGAGGTATAGATAATACAGTTTACATATCCGACTAAATCAGTTGTTCTTAACCTTCCTAATGCCGTGACCCTTTAATACAGTTCCTCGTGTTGTGGCGACCCCAAAACGTTAAAAGTTTTTCGTTGCTACTTCATAACTTCAGTGAAAATGTGTTTTCCGATGGTCTCATGCGACCCCTGTGAACGGGTCGTGACCCACAGGCTGAGAGCCGCTTGCCTAAATGTTTTCCTTTTACACCAGAAAAGACGAGGCATCCGTTAAAATTAGCCCAGGAGACAGGAAAGTAAACCATCTTTTATCTTATTTTGGTTCTTTATTTTTTTAATTCACCCCAAGCACGGGGAATCCCGGAGTTCATAGGAAAGTTAAATATTATCGGAGTGTTAGGTTTGAAATGAACAGATATGGACTGGCATCTGAGACAACAGATCATGTCACCCGAGACTGTCCCAAATACAACATATCAAGACAAAACTTTTGGCCAAGGGAAACATCGGTGCAAGTCAAACTTTACGGATCGCTGAGTGAAATACAATAGACAGTGAAGTTTATACTAGAGACAACATTGCATATATAGATAACCTATTTCAAGCGAACGATAGACAAAGAAGAAGAAATAAACAGCGACTGATCCTAAACCTTAACCGAACCCTATCACCCCTATAATACTGGACTTTGCGGTGAACTCAGGGATTCTCCGTGCTTGGCGTGAATAAAAAATAAAGAATCCTTATTTTGAAAATTCAAAACAATCAACTTAGTGAGATAAACCAGATTTGCTTGGGTCAGAGGCGGACACTACATGCAACCTCTGACGTATTCCTTCCCCAATAAATAAATGCATTACCGTACAGCCATTAACACTGCCAGTTTGGCATTGATTAATGAGTTATTTCACACATTCTGTTTGCTTCCTTTCAACACTTCAGTTCAACCATTAGCATTATTATTATCTGTGATCATTTTCACTCATTTAGTTGAAAGCTTTTGTTCACGGCCTTCTCTATTTATATACAGACGAACCTGCTTTTGTTGAAACCTCAACTTTCTTAGGGCATTTCTTAGGCCATCTAAATCTATTGATTGACCTTTCTTCATAGGCGTCACCCTAAACCTGACTCCTAAAAAAATATTAACCGGGCTAAGTCCCCCCCCCCTCCCCCACTCCCACCAAATGGGGGCAAAACCATCCACAAATGTGTTAGTGAACTAAGAACTAACCCAATCCTGTGTGAATTTCTCTTTCTACACATTTGTTTATAAACGTTATGTTATTTCAAATATATTATATTTATCAGCCATTCATATTTATAATTACACCTTAAACAGAGCTAAGGCTCAATGAGGCCCCTTTAACTAGACAATTTATATTGTCCCTTTCTTCCTTCCTGTCTCCGTTTTCTTTGTGACGATGCCCCTACTTCTAGCACCAGAAAAGGAGCTATGTTAACACGGTGCTAGACACTTGCCAGCAGCCACAAGAGTTTTCAGTTTCTTCTTCTTCTTCTTCTTCTTCTTCTTCTTCTTCTTCTTCTTCTTCGTCGTCGTCGTCGTCGTCGTTTAGAGTTCACCGGCTGTAAACTCCAAAGAAAAGTTCTGGTTATTCATCCACTTCTAGACTTTTGTCTTGTTCCAGAACTTGAGTTTTCACAACTGGGTTTTTTGTATGCAGACTGTTGGTTACTCGTCTCTGAGGTAGACGCAAAATGACTCAAGATATGGAAAAAGAAGTTAACTATTGCTTTCTTCGTAGTTAAACACTCATACCCTGATAACATCAACATACAGAGGTAGAAAATAAATGATTCTTACCTTCTTTTGTAGGCAGATGATTCTTCACTTCTGGATCAACATGGTGCAAGTTGTCTTTGCCGGACTTGTTGATCTCCTCCAGGAGCTTGCTTGGAGCCTTATTAGACATGCTTGATTGTTGTTGTTAGTGTCCGTGTGTCAATTATGCTGTCTCTTAGACACACTTCTGTTAGATAACGGCTTTCTGGAAGAATGGAGACGAAAGCTTAAATGGCAATGACGAGAAATATCAAGCTACGATAAGATAATATATAAAAGTAAGTAGAGATCCCTATTTACACCTTAGGCGCATCGGGTGTATGGAAAGAGCGTTCCATATTTTTACGACGCCCCATACCATGATAAAAATCCACGCAGCCAGCAGTGGGTTTCGATCGCGGTACGCTGGATTACGAGTCGGACTCGCAACCCCTTAGCCACGGGCGCCGCAACGATAAACAATAAGTAGGTAAAAACGTGCCTGTCGCCTAGACTTCCCATAACGTTTTCTGGTATTTATATCACGCGGCGTCAAAATAGCCAAAATCAATGTTTCAAAAAGGCTTCGTTATGAGGATTTGAACTAATCCTCACAGAGAGAGTAGGCAAGTTTGCCAGCTGTTTGTACAACTGAGGCTCCATATATACATATAGTGTGTGCGTGTGTGTGTGTGTGTGATAGAGAGAGAGAGTGCTATTTGGACAGCTGAGGTTGCATGCATACATTATTATAAGTTATAAGCAAAGAACCGACATCATAGCTTTCAAGACATTTCCATAAGCGCCGTCAATATTTTCAGCAGCAAGGGCTGAGTACCAATTCCGATGGAACAGTAACCGTCTGATTGTGTCCGTCTCGCCCCTCCTTTGAGCGTTGATCCTCTGGTCACTCCATGTTGTAAACCCTACTCTTCAGACCATCCACCACTCCCTCACCCCCCCCTCCCCCGCAATGAAGCCCTAGAACTCACATGGCGTTTTATCCATTCAACCAAACATACAATCTCTGCTTAAAATCGACGTAAAGTGTTGGGTTTCATTTTTCAGCGTGTTATCCCGAAGATAACAGCAGGCTACGAATCCAAAAAAAAAAAATGGGTGGGGGGAGTAAAAGAGACACAGATGTACAAGAGACTCCTTTGTCGACGCAAAGAACCAGATAACACTGACGCCACAACTTGCCAGGAAGTGAAAAGGTTTGGAAGCCTGCAGTTTTTCTGTTTCATGCATGCAAATCAGCGGTTTTTACTGGATTGAGAGGTTGGGGGGATGGAGTGGGAGTCATGAAACCTCGTAGAATTATTCTTATGCTTCTTTTTCTACTACTCTACAAGGTCTGAAAATTCAGTTATGAGACTGATTTTATTATGCCCAAGACAATAATGCCATCCATAAAGCAAAGCATTGAATCTAAAGAGGCAACCTTCAACTATGACCTTGCAACTTTTCATCGTCGCTCGATAAGCAGACAACAAACTAGCCACCATTCTGTTGACCTAGTCAGAGGTGCATTGTTACGTAATCAGCATGGAGCAAAAAGCTAACATTAAACTCTGTTTAAAACTCAGAAAAAGCGCTATTGAGACAGTTGAATTGATGAGACAATTTTATGGGGATACCTATTTATTTCGAACACAGATTTTCAGGTGGTATTCAAAAGTGGTGTGGAAATTATTACTAATGCAACTATACCTGGACGCCCCATTTTTTTTTTTTTTTTTTTTTTTATGTTCGCAATGTTCATTGCAAAAGTCAGAGAAAGGATACAAGAAAATCGTTGTTTGACTGTAAGGATGATGGCAGATGAATCTGGTGTTAATAGAGAGACCATTTGTAAAATTGTAATGGAAGTTTTGGGCAAGAAAAAAGTTGCTTGCCGGCCTGTATCACATTTGTTGTCTGATGACCAAAAACATCAGCGTTTTGATTACGCAAAATACATTATGAAAACGTGTCACAAAAATAAACATTTCTTAAATCTGATTGTTGCAGAGGATGAAACATGGATTTTTTGCTATGATCCCACAACTAAACGCCAAAGTGATCAGTGGAAGTCATCATCATCCCAGAAGGCCAAAATCAAAACAAAAAATCCGTCTTCAAAAGTCGAAAGTGAAGACATGGTTGGTGTGCTTCTACGACGGTAAAGGAGTTATCCACACACATAATTTATTTCAGAAGGACAGACTGTCACAACTAAAGTGTATTTAAGTATTTTGAAACGTCTATTGAAAAGAATTCGCAGAGTCCGACCCGAGTATTCAACACCTGGCAGTTTTTTTCTTCTTCATAACAATGCACCGGCTCACCAGGCGGTAGTTGGACAGGAATTGTAGACCCAAAAACAAGTGCGTGTTCTCAACCATCCACCTTATTTTCCAGATTGATTATCTTCTATTCCCAAAATTGAAGTAACCACTGAAAGGACGCTTTTTTTTACGATTCTGATGACCTTGTACCAACACCACCACCACCACCACCACCACTACTACAACTACTACTACTACTACTACTACTACTACTACTACTACTACTACTACTACTACTACTGCTGCTGCTGCTGCTGCTACTACTACTACTACTACTACTACTACTACTACTACTACTACTACTACTACTACTACTACTACTACTACTACTACTACCACTTCTTCTTCGTTTACGCCGGCGGTAAGTTCTGATTGTTCGTCCACTCTAAGAACTTTCGTCTTGATCTTGAACTTCAGTTTTGCATGTAAATCCGTTTTACAGATCTAACTTATGTGTATGCAGACTTTTGGTTCCTTGCATTTCAAGCAGATGCATTCCGAATTTGAAGGAAACACCCTTAATTAGTCCATTCCTACAACATGCTTGTGGGCGAGGGGGTGACACCGGGGGGGGGGGGGGTGGGGGTGGTAGCAGTGGATCTATTCTTTGTTCTCCCAAACAGAGACCCAGGCCCAGATAGGGAGCCTCTTAGCAGTAAACTGTAGACTAACTCCCTTTCACCCGCACCTCCAAATTCAAACATGTCTGTAATTTCAATCGATTATTATGCAAACGTCACCCAAGGCACCGTGTGTACGTAAGCTGATCCACAGGATCAACTGAATACAGGCAGTCCAAACCACTCATGCCAGGGATCTAGTGTGTGAAGTTAAACAGAAAAGGGGGCGAAAATAACTGGTCTCATTTTTTTAGGGTGGAACAAAAGAAAAGACCCACTTCCACACCCACAACAAGCATGTCGTAAAGGGTGACTAGTTAGGGGTGTGTCCTTGGAAGGTTTTTTTTTTTTTTTTCAAAATAAATCCATAATCACCGAAACCTAGGAAATCGGAACCTGGAGCGCCCCCCCCCCCCCCCCCAAAAAAAAAATTGTAGGAAAATGTAATTCAAAGATATATTTATTTGTCTGCCTGCGCGGAATTACTATTATTATTTTGCTAATAAACCAGACGTAAGCCACTTGAGTTTGTCTAGAAAATGTGTAGCACAGGGGTGAGTGAGGGCGCCTCCCACCACCCCATGTTTTCTTGGTGTCGCGCCGCTGCACAGCAAACAAACAAACATTAACGAAACTAATTCGTGAGCTTAACAGTCGGGACATTTGGCTCGTTATCTTGTGTATACGCTTTGCATTGTTTGAAGTATATCGATTTGTCTTTCAGAGCATAAATATCATTATTGCTATCGTTATTGTCGTTAATGTTATTTTTAATATTATTGTGCGCTTTAACTTGCCGTATTGCCTTGTTATCTTGTCTCTGATCCATTAACTTGATGTGCCAGGTTTTTTTTATGAATGTAGAAGGTAAAGTAAAACACATTTATCACAGTCATCCCAGGTTTTGTAAGTCACACTGCTAAACTAGTTGAACTTTCTGGAGCGTGGCCAGGTGACCTGAATATTTGTATCAGTTCTAGCTGTGATCATTATATGGTTTGCAAATTTGTTTTCGTTTCTTTTAATTTATGCACTTTAGACAGTTTTTTAGAGTTATCAAACAGAGCCGTTAAACTATTATAGTCAATATTTCGTCTTTTTTTTTTTTTTTTCTCTACTCCCGTGTTATCTTATTTCCCCTTTTTCTTCTTCCTCTTTCTCATTTCTTCTTCCTCTTCGACAGTTTCCCTGTCTTCTTTGCCTCTTCCACGTTCTCCCTCTTCTTCACCGTCGTATTCTTTTTTTGCCTTCTCATTTATTTCTTCTTCTCATTCTCTGCATCCATCTTCCTCTTCTTTCTCCCATATGCTTCCTTCTCCTCCTCTCGTCCTCCTCCATCTTTTATGTTGCTGCTGCTGGTCAGTTAGTTTTTTCTTCCTTATCGTAAACAAGTGACAGAAAGGGGGAAAAAAGGAGGTGGGAGGTGGGGTTATCAAAGCATAAAAGTTTAAGGCTGTGTTCCAAAAGATTCACAACCAACAGGCAACCCTAGCAACAACGACAACACCTGCATTGCCAAAGGACTGTTTGTATTATTGTCAGTGTCGTTATCTCTGTGGGATTGGCAGGCACACACTGTCCTTGATGTTACAAATGTTTCCGGGCGCAGATAACCCCCAAATAATAATCGCTTGAGCCCAACCGTGGACTCACGAATAAGAATATAATCTTTAAACTTCCTCGTCAAGCAACAAGACCGAAAATGTTTACCATGAGCATCGGCCAGATTTTTTTTTAACGATTCTTCTATAGAAACGCGAAAATAATTTTTAAACACGGGAATCTGATCAACCATCTTGGGACATTCATGATGTCTGTGGCAAGGGGCTAAACATGCTAAAAAAAAAGTTATCTGATGTGAAAGAGTTTTAAAGCATCGTGTCGAACAATTATTGGTGTGTGTATGTATGTGACGAAGAAAGAAGAAAGAGGAGGAGGGTGGTAGAAGAAAAAGATTCGGCAGCAAGAAGAAGAAGAAGAAGAAGAAGAAAACAACAACAACTAAGGTATTTATGTTAGTGAAGAAGAGAGGGGCAATGGAAAAAAGGGAATGGGGAAAAAAGAGAAGGAGCAGGTACAGGGGGAGAAAGAAGAGAAAGAGGCGGAGGAGGAGAAGGAGGAGGAGAAGAAGAAGAAGAAGAAGAAGAACAACAACAACAACGAACAACTAAGGTATGTATGTTATAAGAACAACAACTATG